TATCAATGTTCAGTGACATCTCTGCCAAGTCTCACACAAATTCCTTTGTGTGTTGCTAAATGCAGTAGAAGAGTAGCAGGCCCCTCTTTTGTTTTCTGCCCCTCCGTCTCCCCTCCCAAGGGAACATTTGTGCAAACCCCACCATAAGAAGTTTGAAAAGCAACAATGTAGCCCCCCCCCATGTTTCACAAGATCCCCTTTTGTGAAAGGCAAGTGGATGAGTCAAAAAGACAAGTCACTGGGCTGAGAACTGAATCCAAAGCAGAGATGGGACCCACAAAACAATTTCTTTGCACTTGAAGTTTATGTCCTAAAAATATCTTTTTTTCACAGAAAAGCAAAGTAATGGATTTCCCTCTATTACCTCTGGGTTTAAATTATTCTTCCATGTTTGTTCCCAAATTAATAAGAGGACATTTCTGTCTGTTTTCATATTTCTACTGATAGGAAGATAAATTTTCTTAATCAAACAGTCCAAGCTGAGTGCAGTATATCCTCCGCAACTTTATCACTCTGTCTTGCAGCTGGCAGGGAGCTGCTGGGCCCCTCCAAATTACGAGCAAGTCCTGCGTTGATTCATTTAGCAGTTGGCAGAAAATGCTTTTTTCCTTTGAAAACTCCCCCCCCCCCCCCCAAAAAAATCTCCCTTTCTGTTTTTAAGAAATGGTTTGGCAAGCTGTGCTCACTCCCAGGGAGTTGGTAAACGAAATCACTGCTGTGGCAGCAGGAAAGACAGGAAGGTGTTAATGTTCAACCTTACAGCTGGAAAACTCTTTTGGAAGGGGAACAATGCGACAAAGGCACTAAGAAAATGAGGGAACAGCCCACACGCTTGGACAGTCCACACACGCAGAGAGCCCCCCGCCCCCCCAAGCTCTGCTTCCAGTACGTGTGGATGGGGTCAACATCCCTGCACATACGAAGCAAGCACTGCTCAAAAGGAAAGGTGTAGAAAAGAAACAGCCACTGAATCGTTAATTCAGTATTCAGTATATATCTCAGTCAGCTTTTACAGCTTCATATATCCTGATCGTTACAAGTAGTCCTTGACTTATAACGGTTCATTTAATGTCTGTTCGAAGTTACAAAGACACTGAAAACGTGACTTATGACCATTTTTCACACTTACGACTGTTGCAGCATCCCTGTGGTCACGTGACCAAGAGTCAGATGCTTGGCAACCGACTCATATTTATGACAGTTGCAATCTCTTGGGGTGACGGGATCCCCTTTTGCCACCTTCTGACAGGCAAAGTCAATGGGGAAGCCAGATTCACTTAACGACCGTGTTACTAACTTAAGAGATGCAGTGATTCACTTAACAGCTATGGCAAGAAAGGTTGCAAAATGGGGCAAAATTCACTTAACAACTGTCTCACGTAGCAACAGAAACTTTGGGCTCAATTGTGCTTGTTGTTCGAGGACTACCTGTACTTGTGTATTTATTTTATCCTTTCAGCTTCCTCTTTTCCTCTGGGCTCTCAAGACACCCAAGTCCAAGGTGCCTCCCAAGGCTGCTTGAAGGGTAAAACGAAACCTACACAGAAAGCAATTGGCTGAAGTGAAGCCTTCCCAATTTTCTCACCCAGACTCTCTGGAAAAGAAGGGATATGCTGATGTCCTTTCAGCGCCCCTTTCTGCAACCTCAGAGAAGCTGCCCATTAGTGAATCTTCAAAAAAGAAGGTACTGCTTGGGACACGCAAGGTGCCAATGCATTTATCAAGAGCAAAGAATACACAACCGACCTGAATCTTTTAAAACACATCCCTTTGCATTCTCACAGAAATCAAGAACATAGAACATAGACTAATAAGAGTTGGACGGGGCCTTGGAGGTCTTCTAGGTGGTCTTCAAGTTGGGTCATAATTAATATATCCAAGAGCAGACAACCCCTCCCCTAAAACTAAAAGACTGATTATCTGTCCCTGGCGTCTTCCTGTATCACTGTGACCCAATATAGGTGCCTGCTTGCTTCAGCTGGGCAGCTGGGATGACCTTCATTTCTTGGATGACCCTGCTGGGAATATATACTCTGGGCATATACCCCCAATGTTCTTTGCTCACCCCTCCCAGGAACACACCACCAACACCACCACAAAGAGGCAGTGCAGCAAGGCTTGGGAGGGGCATGTAAAATGAAATGAGAGTCCCAAAACATCTCATTGTCCTCTTAAGAAACTTATATACAGGTTAGAAAGTCACAGTACAGACAGAACATGGCAAACAGACAGGCTCCAGGTTGGCAAAGAAGCACAACAAGGCACGCATCTCCCATTATTTAATCAACCTGTATGCCGAAGAGGGACAAGTGTCGTTTTAAAAACGAAGGAAGAAACGTCAGCTATGAGAACTGACAATTCCATGAATGGAAATCCTAAAGGGGGAAACAACTCAAGATGCTTGAGAAACTCTGAAAAATGAGATTATAAAAACCCAATTTAACACAATACCAGAGAGAAAGAAAAACAGGAGACCCCAAATGAAGTCAGCATGCTTCCATCACTGGAGGTTTTGAAGAAGAGACTGGACAGCCACTTGTCCAGAATGGTGTAGGGTCTCCTGCCATGAGCAGAGGTCAGCACCATAAATGGATGTGCAGCTCACAGAGGAAGAAACATGTCTAGATGCCTTTATTACACATAACAACAAAAATCACAGAATTTTCCACACGGAACGTGCTTGGCAAAGAGGAAACCACATCCAGTGAGTGAAATCTTATTTTCTACTTATGCTATGTGACGATTAACAAAAAAAAAATGTTTTGCCCCCAAGTAATGCTGGAGTTCTTTTTTTCTCTTGTTTCTGCACAAAGCAGCTCATAAGAAAATCTCAGCAGAACAAAAAAGAAGGGGAAAAAACTTTTTTCTGGGATACAGGAAAGCCCAGAATGCTTTGTCCAGCCACATCCTGTTTGCCCAAAGGCTCATCAGGCTGAAGGGGAACATCTGACGTCCCTTCCAAGGGGAGAGAAGCGTCTAGAAGACACGGAGCCTATTATAAGGCCATTTACAATGAGTCAGTCAGGCTGAACAAGGCGCAAGAAGTGGAAAACTGTACCAGGTTCAGAAACTCAAGACCAACAACCCAGATGAGGAGGGCTAAAATCCAGTGGGCTCTACTGAGCGCACATACGCAGGATCAGCCGAAATGTCACTGCACCCCCTCCCTAGGCTGACTTCTATGACAGAAGAGCTCTTCCCTCTTGCTGTCAACCTGGACTCGTCTTTGTGGGATGATGCTCAAAATGATGATGCCTGGCAAAGGTGACCGAGGCACGGTGACATCAGGGATGGAAGGCAAGACACAGGCATCCAGGTTTCCAAAGGGAGCCTTTCTTCAGTCTGCGGCACTTTAAGACTAACGTCCTCGTCAGAATTGCAAAAGCCAAAGTCATAATAAAGCCTGATTTGACTGGAAAGACTCTGGATGAAAATGTCAGAAACCACAGAACTAAGCTGTGAAATGAAAGCTTGGGAAGAAAACCTTTAGAAGCTATTTTGCTAATGAACCCAACACTGAAATGCTTAGATTTGTAGTCCTGTATCTTACGCCTATATTTCCCCTATCAAAACCGACAGGGCAAGCTCTAGTATATATAAGCAGGCAACCAACCCCACGCTAACATGGTTGGATGATGTTATCTAGTTGGGTAATGAAAGGTCTGCAAACAACAAGCTCAGGGAGGATCAAGAACTCCATACCTCAACCCAGGGCTGCAGGTAGCGCTTCTGCTAGAACACAGGTGTACTTTCACTGCAGTCCATGAAACTGGTGCTAAGAGGTCTAGCAGCATTGCAAAGCTGCTCTACAGAAACTGCAAATCTGCACTGACTGATCTTTCTGTTTTAGCCAGATCTTCATTCAAGAAACCAGCTTGGAGAGCTCTGAGCCCTCGCACAAGAGCAAACTTGGCAAGCCACCGGGAACTCCTTGTATCAGCACCAAGCCTCCTCCACTGTACCGGGCACGTCTTGTTTTCAGATGAGGAGAGAATCAAATATGACCTGGCTCTTACCCCAAAATGAGGGGTTCCTTCAGTGTGGCAGGCTGTGGTTTGCTGAAGACAACTCAGTTCACAGATAAACTGTCGGCCCAGAGGGTACAACGTCAGCCTGCTCCAGCTCCATCCCAGGCTTTGCAGAGCATCTTTAATATGGATCAACATAATGACTGGATTCACGCAAAATATCAAGGATCTGGATTTTCAGCCACAAATAACCAATTTTAGTCTCCCATCTCCAGTCTTAATGCTGCGTTAATGAAATTAGAAAGTGCTAATTGGCCATTCAACCATTATGAGACAATTGAACCCACAGTTTGGGGTGCAGTTTGGCATCCCAAAAACGTGTTCAGTAATTAGCAGCCTGCCTGCTCGCCACCTTCAGCCTCCCCCTCCATTCTTATGTTGCCATGCCAACCGCAGCTCCTTGTACCACCGAAGGCTTCTCTTTGGGAACGGCAGGCGGGGCAGAGAAAGCTCCCACGAGTACCGAACGGGGTGCCTGCAGAGTTCTTTGCAATTCCCACAGCAGAGAACAAGCTTTTTTAATATATATACAGTATATATGTAGTTTTAGTTTAATTAGTTTTCTATCATTGCAATTCATTAGTGCTTAATCAACAACGTGTTGTCTGGGTTAATTTTTGCTTAGTCACAAAACTTAAGTTCTTACTCTCTCCAACCATTGATAAAATAAGTTCCCTGTTTGAAAATATTCTGTATCTTCTTTTTCTTTGATTCTCAATGTAAGTCTACGCGTTTCCATACAGTCCAGTATTTTCTTAATTATCGCTTCTTCCAATGGAGAACAAGCTTTGAGGGGATGTGGAGAGGATCAAGAGAGCCACAACGCCTTTCTCCATCCCAGACAGAGATTACGGATTCACAGGTAATTGTGAAAAGTCTGCCTCAAATCAACCCAAATTCACCTATCATGGAATTCAACACCAGCTATTTGCTTTCTATTAACGTCTCTCCCTTTAAAGAGAATCCACGCACCTTTACACTTAGTAGCGAAGCCCTTGGGTCCAAAGCGTTTCCAGGTTTTGAGAACGTGGAGGAGAAACACGTCATGCCTAGGAACACTGACCTTGGAGATCTGACTTAGTCTGGACATGCTGCCCTTGGGGCTTTTCCCACACAGTTCCTGGTGAGCGGAAATTCTCCTGCACATGGAACCTGTCTAAAATCCATGGGGTAAGGATCAAAAATGAGAAATACCACTTTTCTCCATTCAACACACTTGAAAAACTAGACAATATTTGCTCAATCAATCTCCTTCATGGCAATGTCCCTCCAATCGACTCCCCAATGTGGGATCTACATCCCAAATCCAACAGATAAACAGCTGCTACATCCCATTGCTAATCATTTTTAACTTTAACCATATTTAACTTTTGTGTGACTTCAAGTTACTTTTTGAATCCCAGCAACTGCCTGGACCAGTCCCTGAAGTTTTCTAGGCAAGGTTTTTCAGAAGTGGTTTGCACTGCCTCCTTCCAAGGGCTGAGAGGGAATGACTGGCCCAAAGTCCCCCAGCTGGCTTAATGTCCAAAGCAAGACTATTTATTTTATTTGTATCTCACCTTTATTATTTTTATAAATAACTCAAAGTGGTGAAAATGTCCAACGCATCTTCTTCCTCCTATTTTTCCCTGTTCCCTCACAACAACCCTGTGAGAGAGAGACTGGGCCAAAGTCAGCCAGAGAGCTTTCTGCCTAGGAAGGGACTGGAACTCAGGGCCTCCCAATTTCTAACCTGATTCTTTTGTCAACCCTAAAGCACCAAACTGCTGTTTTTATCTTTATTGTTTCTATGGTTGTTTTATTTATTGGTTTTATAGTTGCTGTAAGTTGCACAGAGTTGCTTAAGATGAGCAGCCATATAAACTTTTAAACAAATATATTTATATTTCTTCTAATAAGCTTTATCAACAGAAAGACCTTCAGGTTAGTACACTTGCTAGGTTATTTTTGGCACCTGTGGACATGGGTCATATTTTACATTCTTGTTTCATGTGGCAGACCAATGGTGGCAGAAACCCTAATCTCAGCCCCAGGCAGCCCCAGAGTCCCTCTCCGTCAAAGAGAAGAACTGTCAAAAACAACTTTATCTGTCACATCATAGAAAGCTATAGTCAATTTATCAAACTACAACTGGCTAAGTTTGTGGAGCACGGTACCCTGTAGGTGACCATGTGTAAACCACCATGACAATATTTACATAACAGGCAAACCAAAATCATGCAAGTCACATTACAGCTGAATCACAACAAACAGCATTTCCTGTCCTGCCCCGCTCCCTTCCCCAACATTACTACAAGTTCTACTTAGTTTTTTTTCTCAAATGCTCAGAATTTCATGGATATATTTTTAAACTGACATCCTCAATCCAGATATTTATATTATTTAAAAAAACTATTATAGAGGTATGTCTCATGTATGCCTTTGCAGGCCCAGGAAACACTCTTACTTGGAAGCCATGCCCATAGACTTAGTGTCGGAGGGGTGATGGCCACCAAGAGATTCTAGGGCTGTAGGCTGAAAGTTAAAAAGAAATGTCCCAAAAGACATCAATGGCTCTTCCATATTACTGCCAAGGAACCACCTGGCTATGTTCAAGAAGTCACCAGGAGTCAGGTTTGACATAAAGGAGTATTCATTTGGTATCCATTATCCTCAGAATGACTTCCCAGGAAACGTACAAACTCATACGCTGGTCATAATCATCAACATTAACACATTCTCCAAAAGATCCCACAAGCCAGATTAGAATGAGTGCGCAACTGCTTTTTAGAAGAGATTCACTCCTTCAGTCACTTTTTTCCACCCAAGAAGCTGGGTAGTTACCAAGAGCATCATCATTTCCATCCCTGTTGCAAAAAGGACAAAGGCAGAGGAAAACCTGGGCAGGAATCAACAGCCTCTCTCCTCTCCCGACCCCAGGAAGCCAGAGAAGCCCAGCAAGGACCTTTTATTCTGTCTACTCTCAACTTGCCGGCCTCTAGGGCACAGGGGCCGGCCACCGTTCCCACCTGCTTTGCCTGGGCGTAAACAGCAGCCTCAGATAACAGGACCCCAAAGACCTTAGCCTGGTCTATGCAGCAGCAGCATCTGGAGGCCTCAAACTCAGGGATTCCAACCCCCTTTGCTGGGGAGGCTGCATTTGCGAGACCAAAGAAAGGGCAGTTCAACTGCATTTATGCATTTATGCAGTGGCCACCCCGGCCTCATTTGGGGGCATGAAACAAAGCCTGAGCGCCTCTGTCTCGGGGCCCCAGATTTTCTCTCCACTTGCAGGTTTCTTTCCAGGGCTGGCAGCCATTCATTCCCTTGACTAAGCCTAGCAGTCAACTGATTTCAATCAGATGTCAATCTTTATTGCGTATCCCCACATTTAAGGATGGGATAGGGCGGCGGGGGAGGGGGGAAGTACATATACATACATTCAAATATGTAAATCTGATTTCACATTAGTGGATTTTCAGGTTTCCACAGGCTGAAGCAAACGAACATGGTAATGGAGAGGAAGACCCCTTGTTTCAGTGTACTTGCTATCTTTTATTGATTTGATTGTAATTTCTTTGTTTGATTGCTGTGAACCGTTCAGTGTCACTGATAGATGACATTCAAGTTTAATAAATTATTATTATTGCTTGTCGAGCAGACTGGATTTGGCATTTTTATCCACCTATTGAGTCTTTCCGTAGGAACTGGAATAACCAGATATTTTTTGAGGGTGTTAAAGGTACTGTCACATGATATAAGTATTGTTATTGTTTTGAACTGCTATCAGCAAACATTGATTTATAAATTAAACACATGCTATATCAACCTGCAGAGGATATACTACAACCCAGGAACAAATTCATGGTTTCAAATGTTGCTTTACACTACATTGCAGGAGTAATCCTGACTTTTATCAAATACTCTGCAGCCGTACAATGAAGACAATGCAAAAGTATTTATTTTTATTTCTTTCTAGCCTCCACTCTGCAGGACCAGCACGAATCACACCTGCTCTGCTGGGCTCCGAACAGGAGGCAGAGTTCTGCCAATGGAGGCCCCTCTTAGATCAGGCACCGCAGCAGAGGGAGGGAGGGAAGGAAGGTGTTCCCAAGCCAAAGTCCCAGCTTGAGCCAGATTCCTCGGCTAAAGAGTGGTCAGTTGTGAAGAAGGCTACCTGTCTAAACACTTCAGAGAGAAAAGAAGTACAGGGAGCAAAATATCCCTGGCCAGAAAGGGGGGGGGCACTTCTCTGCATGTGCTGTTCGATCTTGGGGACCTCCCAGGCCGGCCAGGCAAACGCCGGTCCTCGGGTCTCCTTGCAAACGCCTCCCTGATTTTTCCAGCTTCGGGAGTGTGGAACTGGACCCCTCCTCAAATCCTGGGATTAGGAGAGGTGACGCTGAGCCCCTTTGACGCTCGGGGGATGAAGCAGCTGCTGGTCCGGCCAGCGCCCCGGGAGCTGAGGCTGGGGGACCCTACTTCGCCCCCCCAGCCAAGCTCCCTTCCTCCTCCTCCTCCTCCTCCTCCTCCTCCTCCTCCTCCTCCGGCAGCCACCGGTGGAGGGAGGTGCCGGGGCTCCGAGCGGGGCGGGTGCCGGCGGGGGGGCTGCGGCCCCTGCGGGATTTCCGCGGGGGGAATATCGGGGCTCGCCTGCTCTGCGACGGGCCTTTTGGAGGCAGGCGCAGCCCCGGCAGGTCCAGAGGCAGCGGAGAGGTACCGCCTTACGGCCGACCAGGAGCCCCCGGGAACCAGCCTGCCCGCCTTTCCACGGGTTAAAAATGCAGCACAGCCTCTGCCCGGCCCGGGGGGGGGGGAGCCGGCCGGCCCTGCCCGGGAAGCCCCCCGGCTCTGTGGCCGGAGCGGCCGCGGCATCTCTTACCTTGGAGAGCGTCATGCAGAAACTGCCCTCGGCCAATCGGGCGACCCTCGCCAAGGCCGGCGGGGGAAGCCGGGCTCCGTCCTCCGGATTCCGAGCGCGCCGAGGGGGGACGCCGCGGCCGGCACCTCCCTGCGGAGGGGGAACCGGCGTCAGAGGCTGAGGAGGCCGAGGGTCCCTCCGCCCCGGCCTGAGCGCGCCCTCCTTCCTGCGCCGGAGGAGCCTCGGCGGCGGCGGGGCTCGCACTGCCGCTCAGCCCGGGGAGCGTGGCCGGCCCTCCGCTGCCCAGCGGGGCGGGGAAGGCGGCGCCCTACGCGCCCAGCGCTCCGCAGCCGCCAGCGCCGCCTCCTGCCGCCGCCTTGGGTGGGTCTCCGGGCTGCACGTGGTGCCGCCGCCGCCTCCTCGTCCGGGGCTGTCGGGCTGCCGAGCGGCCGCGGCGATCTCTGGGCGGGAGAGAAGCTCCGCGTGCCGGAGGCGGAGGCCGGGCGAGGGGGCTGCGGGGACTGGGCTTTTCAGGGCGAGCGGAGAGGCGCCGCCAGGCAGGTGCCGAGGCCGGGGAGCCGCTCCCCGCCCCCGCCGACCCGGCCTGGGGCTGGCAGACGGAAAGCCTGCCCCACCTTTGGGCCAGAGCGGCCGGGGCGGGTCTCCTTGGCTTGAAAAGCCCGAGAGCCAGGTTGCCACGGAGGCCCGCAAGGCCGGCTTCGGCTCTCCCGGCTCTTCTCGGGGACGAAATGCCCGAGGCGGGATCCGGGTCAGCTCAGGAAGAGCCGGGATGGGGCCGGGCTCGAAGGCGAGGAAGATGAGTTTGTCAAGAAGACAACACTGGCAGACTCTTGTACAGACGACTCCAGCACCTGATTTCCCCCTGTTTTTCTGTCCAGGGGATCCTCGACTGATGACCACAAGGGAGTCCAAAACGTATGTTGCTAAGAGACATTTTTAAGTGAGTTTTGTCCCATTTTACAACCCTTCTTGCCACAGCTGTTAAGTGAATCACTGCAGTTGTTAAGGTAGTCACAGGTTGTTAAGTGAACCTGGCTTCCCCCTTGACATTGCTCGTCAGGAGGTCGCAAAAGGGGATCATGTGACACTGCGACCGTCATAAATAGAAGTCAAGCGTATGAATTTTGATGACGTGACCCTGGGGATGCTGCAGTGGCCCTAAGTGTGACAAACAGTCCTAGGTCACCTTTTTCAGTGCCGTTGTAACTTCAAACGGTCACTAAACAAACTGATGTAAGTCCCCTGTATTGCGGGATCCTCCTGCTTAGTCCTGAGAGAGCTGGTGGGCTTAAAAGAGAATACAATGTTAGAAGGAGAAGGTTTTCCCCCCCTTAGTTTGAATAACATATATATGGAAACGAACTTCAGTTACATTTTGCAAACCTAAACTTTAAAATCAGTTTGGGGATCAGATTTTATAGTACTTTGTACTTTCTATACTTTGCACGCAGCTGGTCTTCAGTCAGAAATGCCTTCCACCCACCCTGCCTCCACCCCCGCACCCCGTGACCCCAAGAGGGCCAGGTCCACAAAGGCAAATCAAGGGGCAAGTCACAGAGGGGTGAAACTTTAGGTCTGTGTTGTTTTCTCTCTCTCCTCTCTCCACTGGGCGAAAGCGGAGATCAGTAGAGAGAACCAGCACTTGGTTATTTCTGTAGCTAGGCAACAAGTGATATTATAGCAAGAAATACTTCTTTCCCTCGCTCGCATGATGGATTAAGGAGTCCTTTAATTCTCATTCTGCACAAAGGATGCTCTGATTTAGGAGTGCTCCAGGTCCCAACCTCCCGTCTCCCCACCCCCGGCCCTCCCTCCAACATATCTTGAAGAAAGTTTGGTTGCCACTGGCAGTTTGGCTTTTTGTGTGCAGAATTCTAACCCTCTCCTCCTTTTCCTGCTCCCTTTTTTGTAATCAGCCAAGGATTATTGCTTGAATTAATTAGCACCAATTAATTGGTTGAGGTGGCCCAGCTTGTTCTCCTTCCCTTTGGAGAGGGGAGTCGGGAGAAGAGAGGAGGGCGAGAGGGGAGCTGTGCCAAATGGAGGCTCTCTCCAAATTGTTTCCATGCAGCAAACACTGATGCTTCCTTTAATCTGCCTGGGTGTCAGTGGAAGAACACTGTGTCTCGTTCAGCAAGCAGGGCTTGAAAGACACGGAGCTACCAACATACTAGGACTGCTCCACATGAAAATGTTTCCGCCACTGCTGTTCGAAGACCTCACCTTCCTGCAGGTGCTGCAGCTAGAAATGAAAGCTTAGAAAGAAAAGTTCCATTGAGGACTATGCTCACTCTCTTTAACAAGTCTTTGGTACATATTGCTATGAAAAATATTACTATCATCTTCATAATTAAGCCTGTAAAATGGTGCTTGGGTATAACCCAGAAATTGATGGGAGGATTTCAACTAATATCTGGCAAGACAATATCTGCAGCTTTGGCTGCAATTGCTGAGTGAGCTGATCCTGAACCATGAGATTCTGGTGACATGTCGATGAAGACTCTCAACCATCCAGCGAAAGGTGTCTAAAGGTTGAATCGTGGCAACTGGACTAAATTTTTTTGTTAGCTTGAGACATTTCACTGCTCATCCAAGCAGCTTCATTCATTCTCTGGTGAGACTTGCAGCATAGCACCAAAACCAGGTGACATTTCTCTTAGGCTAAAGTGGGAAGAAAAACTGGATTTGGAAAAAATGGTCTTTGGCCTATCAAGCAAAGATGACAACATCAGGGTCTCCTGCAGGATTCAATGTTTGTAGAAATACCTTTTTCCAACAAAGAAAACGTGGAGATCATCCCAGGGACATTGAATTGGGAGTGGCAGAAGAAGTAGCCAGTCGGCCAAACTAAAATCCTTAACTCCATGGCTGTCAGGAGGGCCTCTCTCTCCTAATTTCATACCAGAAGGAAACTGAGCCCAAACCTTTCATTTCCAGTGGGATCTGCTTCCTCTGCTTTGCCACAACAGTTTTGATGCCTTGCTGAAGCCACGGTCGACTCCCTGGGGCCTTCGAGCTCTGCTCCTTGGACTGCTCTCCAGAGGAGAAGGCTGCTCTGCTCTGCTCTGCTCTGCTCTGCTCTGCTCTGCTCTGCTCTGCTCTGCTCTGCTCTGCTCTGTGGAGGAGGCAGCAAGAACATCTGGTGCTTCCTGAAGGGTCCGTGGGACTGCTGAGATTGGGTGGGGTCCTTTCCGGCCATTGCAGCAGCTGAGTGGGCTTCCTTTGCTGGGGCTGGAGAATCGGTTTGGCCTTATCTGCAAATGAGCTGGGAAAGCAGACGGGATTGTAAGAATCCCAGGATCCTGGCAGGAAACCAGAGACGGTGCTGGCATTGTCTCGTCTCTGCCCTTGTCTCCGTGGAAGTCAGTAGAAATACCAGACCCCCCCTCCCAAGACAAAGTAACAAAAGCATCGCACATTCCATTTGTGAATACTTTGAAATACCCTTTTGAACATTTGGTGGGACATCATTTTAAAACTTCTCAGTAAAGGTCCACATTCCCTTGCTAAATCTAGCACTTTAAAATCTAGGCGCCTTGGCGTCTCTTCCCCTAAAACCCATAAATCAAATAGCATTTGTAATCCTGTGGAATGGTGGACAGAAAGGGGGATTTTTATAATAGACAGGTGAGAGATTTTCTTGGTGAATATGTTCTGTTGGCCACAAGTTTCTGCATTAACAATATTCTTGTAGAGCTAACTTTGGATCAAGATGGTCTGTGGGATTGTGTCAAAAAAATCAAGAAGCCATTTGTGACCCTGTGATGCACTTCTTTTTATGTGGCTATAAAAAAGGATGTGTAGGGGATGACCAGGCTGAACCCGAGGGAGGAATCAAACACGTCATAAGTCATGAGTCCCTTCACGCTGCAAGAGATATAAGTCCAACCCATCTTGAACTCCTTCTACTCGTATCTTTCGCTAATTTCCCTTAGCAGCTAATGGTTCAGATTCTTGTACAGAGCTTAAGCTTACAATAAATGTTTATATACTCTGAACTACTTCGATCTCCTGAACATGGCAATTGTGCCATGTCCTCCTGCAATTCATGCACCCTTGGTAGAGCTGTCCTGAAGAAGCAGGAAGTTGTCCTTTTCAAAACTGTTAGCTGCGAGCCAGAGCCTTTAACAGCTCCCATTGTCTGCCATTAGCACCATCATCTGGTTTGGATTATAACAGATCTCATCCTTGTTTGGTTTGGGAACCGAAAGAAAAATTCAGAGTTGTTTCTACTTGTGCCAAGTATGAATTGAATGCAATGAACAAACAGCATAAATGGCTCTCAAAAGACACACGTGGCTGTTGTTCGTCTCTTCTCTTTGGGGAGAAGACAGACACAGCAGCCCTCTGTTTGAAGAGAACATGTCAGAAGCTCAGACATCTTTGTTTTTTCCCCTCGCTTTACTCAAGAAAGCTCAATGCTGGTCTTGTAATGGTCAGTACAGAAAGAGAACCCCGTTTCTCCCCAAACTCTTCACTCTCATAAAGCAGAACTTGCTCTAAGTAACCCCTGGGACTGTCCTCCTGCAGGGTCCGGTTCTCTTTCCTGTGGGATGCAGGGAGGGCCGTCTTTCATTTGTTTCTGCAGATGATGGAATCTGTTCTCTGGATTCCTGACCATGGAATGTGGGTTAGACCTGCGTATCCCACTTTATCCTTCCACGATGGTCAGCCTTCTCTTTTGAAAATTGAGTAGCAAAGGGACTCACAAACTCCGCCTGAAAGCAACAATCTTTTTCTCGCAGTCATTTGATTCTGGGGAATACACTGAGTCTGAAGATGGAGGCTCCACTAGTTATTAGAAGACGCATCCTCTTTGAAAATAACCATGATCAAAACTGCTGACTCTCCTCATCACATAAGAAACCATCTTTTATCAAATAATTCCGTTTGCCCTCTCAGTACTCCCAGTGGCTTCCTTGCCTTCCAGGCAGATACTGCTGGGACTGAAGCAGAACCAATGTCTCTGCCACTGAGCTTCTGTCTGTGTTGGGGAGTAGTGTGCATGAGGTTTTGTTAGTGTTATTTTTTTTTTTAAAAAAAAATGTAACTGACATTATCAGAGACACAATACAACAGCAGTGATACTGCAATTGAGGAAGAGCAGGAGGTCCCTTAGCTGCTGCCATGCTACCCCTTCCCTGGGGGGGGGGTCCTGTGTTTCCATGTAACGCAGAGTGCTACTATTTCCCATCTGTTTTTAAATTTCTAAGTTAATCGTGTCAGTTAGTCATTTCTCCTTATTTTTCTTGTGGCTAAATCATCCTGGGCGAAACGTCTGAGGAAGAGGCATGGCGACTGGGTTAAAACAGAAGGTTCACCAAAAAAGCAGGCATGGGAGGGAAACAATTTGCTGAGAACTGCACTGATACGGTGGTTCCAATCACAATGAAATCATTGGGATCCAGTTAAATGTGGCCTTCCTCCCGAAGACAAAGAAAAGCAGCATTTGTTGGCGTCAGCTGGAGTCTGGGCTGCCGGTGTCCCCTCCGACACAGCCAGCACCAAATGGACTGACCAGGCCCCTATTCTGCCCTGGTGACCTTTGGCAGTCCCCATCTGCTTCTTGGGAGGGCAAGGGGGCCCCCTAGTGGCCACACAATTCCAAGACAGGAGGGGATGCCAGAGGTCCATGAACAAAGTTTGCGATCAGTTCCTTTTCAGGCTCTGCAGAAAGAAACACAGTCTGTTGCCTGGATGAATAGCTGAAAAAAGGCATTCTAGGGGCTGTGTAATTAGCCAATCAATCCCCTTCCCAGCCCATAGATGGGGCTGCAAAGGAATGTTTTCCACGGTTCACACAATAGTCTCAGGTCAAAGTTCAGCAGAGGGTCCCTGCAGAAGACAGTAAGACAGCAAGGTTCAGAGTTCATCAATCTACAGCAGGTTCTAAGCAAAATGTAAACGCTCTATTGTGAGGTCCGCCTCAGTTTGAGAATGAAACAGCCAGATACACATCTCACTCGAGATTGAAACACTCCTGACCTAATATCTGGAGACTGGAAGGATCTGAATGGGAGAAACAAAAGGCTGAATCTCAGCAAGACGGAGCTGTTGTTTCTCCAGAAGCCCTTTGGTGCACTCTCCTCTACTGATACTTTTGGAGGAAAAAGACTCCCTTGAAAGGGCAGTGCCCACACCTTGGGGTGGGGGCTCCTCCTATGCTTATGGCTACATCAGGATAAGTCTGGGGGTCTTTGGCTGGGAAACATTTGCAGCTGTTTCCAGAGAAAGCCTTAGGGTTCGGGTTAGACCTCCTTTCATCATTAGGATTAGATCAGAATAACCGAATAACAGAATTGGAAGGGACCTTGGGGTCTTCAAGTGTTAACTCCCCACTCAATCTGGAGACCCTTTACCATTTCAGACAAATGAGTGTCCAGTCTTTTTCTTAAAAGCCTCCACAACTTCTTTATTGTCACTTTTTGCTGTGAACACACTGGCACACATTAAAAATGAAATTCAGATGTCTGCTCTCAAAATAAATATATATGCATACACATAGATGCACATACCTATGCTATATGTAGTGGTGGGATTCAAATATCTGAACAACTGGTTTTCTGTGTGGATGCCACTTCCCGAAGTCTGTTCAACTGCGCCCTCACGGCCATCACCTTGACTTTTCGGACTGCGCCCTGCAGACGCCCTTGGCTCAACTGCTGAAAAAGCCTCGGTGGGTTCTTTGGCCGCGGGGCTGCTTCTGGCGGGAGCCGGAGGCAGTCTCTGCACGGGCCACAAGGGGGCAGGCCTGGCTGCTTTGGAGAGAGCGGTGCCTTTGTGGTACCCGAGCATTTGGGCTTCTCCCTTGCCAGTAAAGCAGCAACTTAGAGTCTGAAGCTCCCAAAAGATTTTCCCTGGAAAAAAAAAGGAACAGATGAAATAAGGGGAGTCTGGCAGCAGCTCCCAACTACTCCAGCGGGAAGCACAGCTGCCTGCTGCTCTAATGCTTTTCCCAGAGCTCAAGAGGCCAAAGATCACTCCTCATTATTTCAGCCTGACAAGACAGCAGCCCCCGACTCTGCTGCCTCTCCAGCCTGGCCACTTAGACTCACCCAGGGTGATAAATGCTACCCAAGACTTGAAAAACAACAGAGAAGTGGAGGATAGGATTGGATGTCCTCCTTGAATGGCGTGTCAAAGGATGCTCAGTCAAGGCAAGGCAGCTTCTGGGGCCGTTGGCGGAAGGCGGGGGGGGGGCTCCTGTGGCAAAGGAAGGGGCTGGAGGACCACAGAGTTACACAGCTGGAGGCGTCTCAGCCTCTTTAGGTTGACCAGGTCAGGAACAGACTCTGCAAGGATCACGCAAATACTATTGATTTTTGGAGGGATACTAATAACATTAATTTAAAGAATGCCTCATATGGTAATCCTGGGCAGCTCCTCACAACCAATAAAGGCAACTATATAGAAACAGATCAAACCTTTCCCACCAGGTACAGACTTTCCCTACTGGTGAACCCCTGATTCAGTCCCATCCTAGCTGAATCATTGGGGAAATAGCCAGATCTTTCCATCTGTTAGGAACGTTTTGTTTGCTGAGTTCTACAGGCAAATTCTAATAGCCGTGGCTGAATTTCCTTCAATTCTTAGCAAAAGAATTTTGAAATAAAGTTTTTTTTATTGAAAGTTTTTTAAATTTTACAAAACAAATCCCCTCCCCAAACCCCCCCACCCTCCCATAGCCTCCCCTACCTCCCCCAACCTCCCAAACCCTCCCCCAACCTTCCCAGAGCTGAGTGCAGGCTTAATTAAAATTTTTCAGAAAAAGAAAAGAAAAACTTAAAACACATATAAATCCTAAACAAATCTAAATACATTAAATTAAATAGGTTATCTTCTCTAAAAAAATAATAATTGCAATCATTAAACACATTATAATATACTCTAAACATTTTCTAGTATCATGAATTTTGAAATAAAGTTTGAGGGTTTTAAAAAAATGTTTTGGAATAAGGAGAAAAGGGGTGATTATAACTTTGATTTTGTAAAGTTACAAATGGACGTGTGCAAACTAAATGTATGTTTATATAGCTGCAAAAACTGAAATGCAATTTTATGGTACATCAACAGAATATAGTTTCCAATCTTGGAAGTAATTGTTCCACTTTGTTCTATGTTGTTCATACCTTATTTTTTCTCCTGCTTTCAGTTCTGGGCACTACACATCAAGAAGGATTCAAAGAAAATTTGGCATGTTCAGAGAAGGACTATGATCAAGAGACTAGAAATTAAATCCGAAGGAGACAGTGCAGCAGCCAGGTATGTTCTGCCTTTAAAAGGGTGACCGAGAAAGAGCGTGTGGCACCTGCAGATGCGAGCCTTGAGGCAGTGTTGAAGCCCAGCAGATCCGATCCTGCCTCTTGTCACTTGCTTTCTGAGCTACAGCTTTGCTTTGGATAACTGTGGCCACCAGGAGAGCTTCCCCACGGAAGCGGCTCTAGCCAAGGAGCAATGCATTGGCCAGAGCTATGAACCACGTGCAGTCGGGACTCTTGACCAAGCAGAGTGCTCTAAATGCTACGTCAAGTCAAATATAGCTGCAGACTCTTTTCCAACCTTCCCCACCCACACAAGGAGGCCAAGGGGAGAAGCAAAGCTGGGCTGTCCCGATTTCCTTTCTGTGCTTAGGACTTGCAGCCATAGAAGACAGCTTGGAAAGAAACAGACATTGTATAGAGAGGAAAATGTTTGCACAGCTGTGGGACACAAGAGGCGGTTTGGCTGTCTCGTTAAAAAGAAGGAAATCTCTGCTGATCAGTCCAGAACTTGATGGGAGCCCAATATTCTCTTTCCCAAAATCAGCCAATCAGATGCCTTATCCCACCAGCAGGATATCAGCACTAGGGTCTTCCAAATAAGTCATTACCACCAGACATTGCAGTGGTGCAGGATGGTGATGATGGAAACTGGGGTGAAATGCAGTGCACGGCTAAAATATGGAGCTCCCTGTTACACGATAAAAATTATGCTTGGTTTATTTAGCTGAGTCTAAGAACAGAATGGACAAATTCATAGAGGACACAATGTTTGAAGAATGATTGTGTGTAGGAGTGCATAGTGCGCTGGTGGAAGGAGAGAGAGAGAGAGAGAGACCTTGCCTCCTGGAGTTGTGAGTGCTCCATCACTGGAGGTTTTCAAGAAAAGATTGCACAACCATTTGTCCAGGATGGTATAAGGTCTCCTGCCTTGGGAATATGGTTGGACTAGAAGACCTCCAAGGTCCCTTTCAGCCCTGTAATTCTGTGAATGCTACATAGCAAGGTTGGTAGCTACTGAGTTTTGGGGCTCAGCAAATTTTGTGGCACAGGTCTTGGGTCTGCATTGCCTGTAAGTCAATAAGTAAAAATAGGGATTCGCTTTTGCCTTCTCTGTTTCCCTAATCAAATAAATATAATTAGGAAATTTTACAGATCGTATATAAAATAGGCAGCAATGGAGAAATTTGAGTCGTTGTCCTGTAGTGACACATAAGAACTCTGCACCAACTCATTCAGCTGCAGGGACTGATCTCCAGATGACAACCATCTGTCTGAAATATTTTCTGGATTCCCGCACTGAGCAGGCCCTTGCAATACTTTTTTTTTTTTTTTGCTGCATTCCCATGACACAGCCTTTGTTTCATCATCTCAGTCTGTGAGTGAGGCAGCCTTTTCAGACCTTAGCCAGGCGGCTGCAAAAGTAATGTTCTCCCATTTCTTCTGACAGCATCCAAGAGCAGCCTGTCTGGGAAACGCATTAGGGTTTGACACCCATTTCCTTGGAAGGAAGTCAGGTCACTGGCAGAGGTAATAGGAGAGAAATCAGCAATGAGGATGCTTTCTATCCAGTCAAGGATGGGTCCAGAGTGCCACGGGCTCTTTCTCCTGGGCTAGACAAGGTTCTTTTTTCTCCAATTCGGACCCAGAAAAGTACACTAGGATAAAATCTACTGCCCCAAGGCATGGTTTTGTGGTGACATCATATTAAAGACAAAAACTGATAGAATTTCCATGATCTCTCATCACAGGGGGAAAATGTTCACCCGTCATTAAGGTGGCCTAGAGGTAGAGAGAGAGAGTGAGTTTTCACAGATGGAAGACTCTTTTGGACACAGGTTTAGCAGTATTCCAGAACTGCATCAAACACAGGGAGCTGTGTTTCCCTCCTGGTCCAATGTGCAGCCATTGTCCTCTGAATGTCGATCAGCTGCCCGTCAGGCTGATTTAAGCCTCAGAGCCAGGGATCATTCAGCCAGTTTGAAAGAATGGGATTGTCCTATTCTTCAGACAAAATAAACCTGGAGGACGAGTCCAAAATCCAGAAGAAAAGAGGCAGCCCACAGTGGTCTACAGGGAGAGTGTTGATTCCTCCCTAGAGATCAAGTGGCCCCTTGGACTGAGAGAATAGCCAGATAGTATCCACAATAAAGATGCTTGTTACCTACTTAAAACAGAAAACACAATGGCACCACATGAGCAGCTAAAGATGATTCTGAGTTGTGTCTCAGGTAGGGGGTAGCAATCAGATAAAGGCATCATTATGAGGACAAAGCAGAAAGAAGAGGTTGCAGGACATCTTTGTGTCATGGATAAAAGTATCATAACTGGGTCAAAGAGATCCATAGATATTCTGAGATGCGTGTAATGTTCTTCCATTCTTTAAAATCACATGACGTTTCTTTTAGCATTATACTATATTTTTTGTATGTTTCCCATCTTCAAAATCTTAGGAAGACAAAAATCAGAAAAAAAGAAGGCATGGAGACTTTTTGTGAGGACATGATGAGATAGCCATCCCTAAAGGAATACGGATGGCGTTATGGCTGATCACTGAAATTTCTCCGGAGAAAGGAAAGATCATGGGATTTCCCACTTGTACTCTGGGAAGCTTCTCCTCATGAACAGATTGCAAGAACTGAGGTTTTTGTAGTTGGTGGGGAGTGGAGCAACTGGTAATCAAGGAATTCCCTCTGGGCCCACAACTGTAATGCAGCCTATATGGACATAAAGCTTGGTCAAGCCTCATTTCTAATCAGTTTTTGAAATATTGCTTTTTATTGCTTTTTAATATTAAAAGCTATCAGAATGGCAAGTTTGATGGCATTCACTGGATTTCTTTCAATGATCTTCAGTTGCTTGTATGATCTTTAAGCCCTATAATAAAAAATTAAAGAGGTTGAATTTTTAAATTTCCTAAGAGTACAAGTTCACTCCATGTACTTTTTCCTCTCCTCCTGTGGGTGATGGCAGTCCCTCCCTAGGAGGCAAAGGCAAACCTCTGGAAAATGTTGCCAAGAAAATTGCAGGGTTGCCAGAAGTCAACACTGAGTCAGATCAAACAAAACTAATTCCGTCTTTTTCAGAAAAAGGGAGATAGAGCATAGAACACAAAATAATAGGTTGGAAGGGACCTTGGAGGTCTTCTAGTCTAACCAACCTGCTCAAGCAGGAGACCCTATGCCATTTCAGACCAATGGTTGTCCAGTCTCTTTTTGAAAGCCTCCAGTGATGGAGCACCCAGAAGGCAAGCTATACCATTAATTGCTCGCTCTCACCATTAGGAAATTTCTCCTTAGTTCTAGGTTGCTTTTCTCCTTGGTTAGTTGCCATCCACTGTTTTTTGTCTTGCCTTTTGGTGCTTTGGAAAATAGTTTGACCCCCTTTTCTTTGTGGCAGCCCCTCAAATATGCTATCATCTCTCCTCTAGTCCTTCTTCTCATTAGACTAGACATACCCAATTCCTGTAGCCATTTTTCATCTGTTTTAGCCCCCAGCCCACTAATCATTCTTGTTGCTCTTCTCTGCACTCGTTCTAGAGCAGAGGTCCCCAACCTTTTGGGCACCAGGGAGAGAGGTTCTTCTGCAGACTGGAGGGTGTGTGGTTTTGTGTGCTGCCTGCATCCCGTAGATGAGGCTTTGCTTGTTTATGTAGACCAGTTGCTGGCAGGCTGCAGCCCGCTAGTAGTCCACGGACCGGGGGTTGGGGACCCCTGTTCTAAAGTCTCAACATCTTTTTTATATGGTTGTGACCAGAACTGGATGAAGTGTTCCCAGTGTGGTCTTACTAAGGCTGTGTGGCAGATTTTTTGCAGCAGCTCAAAAATCTGTAACTCAGCAAAGAGATGAAGGGGGCGTCCCCTTGAGCCGGCTGATTGAAAATAGATGACTGGCAAACATGCTTTTTAACCCACTTTCCTAATCTAAAAATTCATTTTGAAATCTTCAATCTGGCCATTTTCAAGTGATCAAATAGTGACTTGTTTGAAAAAAGCAATGCAAATTTGGCAGGTTCGCTTCCAGTTTTTTGGAGTAAATGCTCCCTCCTCCCCCACTACCCCCCCCCCAACCACATAATAAGATGCTCGATGTTTTCATGGTCTCCTTCTTGGCAAGAGCACCTCAAAATTGCCAGGAAAAGTTTGCTTTGCCACTGCGGACGAGTCCCCGCTGGAGGGCTTGCTACGAAGAAGCCTGCCACTTCTGCAGCCAGGGCTGGGGAATCCCTGCCGCTGGCTAAGCCTCTGCCCCCCTGGCCACCCCATCCCCACTCCGTTTCTCTGCTCCTGCAGCTCCTACAGCCCCGCCCCTCCCACTTCCTTCCAAGAGCTGCTTCTGTCAGGAGTGGGGAGAGACTTGTGGGATAAGCAGACTGTTTTTCACCGAGTTCAACCTCTGCTTTGCTTTCTGTGCGAACCTTCCGTGCATGGTCTGACCAGATAGCCCTGGACGTCTCTGGGTGCCCCATGGAGGCCTGCCGAGGGGTGCTGGTGGCCTGGGCTGTTAGCCTCCTGACAGGTAAGTCTGCCTAATCTCTGCAGCCTCCTGTCAATCTCACCAAGAGGACTTTGCTGGTGGTCCCCTTGCTCTGTTATTTATTCTATGACAGATGCTTGAATGAGGATACTCCTTTTTTTGCAAAAGTCTCTCTCTCTCTCTCTCTCTCTCTCTCTCTCTCTCTCTCTCTCTCTGATTGCAACTTTGGCATTTGGTAGCTGGACCCCATTTTTGATAGTTCAGTTTGTTGCTTTGGCAGAAGGAGGGAAAGGAAGGTGTTCTGCATGGAGCTTTTAAAATGCTTCTGCTCATTCAGAGCCTGGGTCCTCACCGGAGGCTTTTAGAGGTTTGGTTAATAAAATTTGCCGGAGCCACCTTCTTGGGGTCTCGTGATTGTTTTTTTTTTTTAAGAGGCAGCCTGGCCGCCATATATGGGTTCAATGCACAGCTGAAGGCAGCGTATTAAGTTACAGAGGAGGAGGGAGAGGGTGAAATTTCAACTTATTATTGGCCGTGTTTCTGCAAATTTAAACACCATTGTATAGCCAGGGCTGGGGCAGGCGGGGTGTTCTGGCTGAAAAGACTTTCTTTCTTTCTTTCTTTCTTTCTTTCTTTCTTTCTTTCTTTCTTTCTTTCTTTCTTTCTTTCTTTCTTTCTCTTGCTTCAGTTATATTTGACATCTTTTTGTGCTCAGTTTCAACTCAAGGAGCAAAAACACTGCCTTCTGAGACTTTAGAACAAAAGGGATGGAAAATTGTCTTCTGCACACGTGGAAGTTTTTGGAGAAAGTCTGCTGTTTGTATTTGTGTGAATGATTTGAAATGACCCGTCATTTTTTTCCAGGCTGAGGAGAACTTGAAGGCTGGAGCATAGCAAATTGTGACTTATAGAGGGAAGGCGCTTCCACGTGGACAAATAATTGTGTTTTGCTTGCCACCAAGCTGATTTCAGGGTTGGCCTTTTTTCTCCTGGTGTAGCAATTCCGCAGATTGAGTGTTTAAAGGTGCTGCACTATCACTGCACAGTAAGAACTAGACCGAGTTGTATTTACCTTTTAAGCGTATGCTTCATGCTTAGTATCTAGAGATGCATCATTTCAAGAGATCGATTAACAGGGAGTAAGTCTACTTTTATTTTGCTCCCCATTTATTATTATATTCACTTTGTAGCACCTCTAGCACCCCAGATAGAGCTGACTGTGAAGGCAGACTCACCAAGGGCTAGCCAGGATTGCTCAAGGGGTTGTGAATGGGGCTAGGAGGTTTATAAGAATCGGTAATGTCCTCATTCATATAGATGTTCCGAGGTGAGGAAAATTGGGCAATCTACCGTAATGTTCCCTACCTAGTAATTTTTTTCTCCTACAAGTTATTTAGGAACGACTTCTCAGAGCCTTTCATTCCTTAGAGCAGGGTTTCTCAACAATGGCCGCTTGAAGATGGGTGCACTTCACCCCCAGAATTCCCCAGCCAGCCATGCTGCAGTCCTCACATCTGCTAAGGTTGAGAAACGCTGCCTTACAAACCTAAATCCAACTTCTTTGTTTTATTCAGTTTGTATACCCCCCCTCCAGTGAGTTAGAAACTTAAATCTGCAGAACTAACCCGTGTAAACTGTTGGCTCCTTGCTTTTCCAGCCCCAATAATACATCTTATATTTCAGACTTCCCAGTGCACTTCTGCTTTCCTGTCTTCCGGGAATTAGGCCTGTTTGTGCGTTTGGGGGAGGAAGAGACCCACAGCGAAAGGACTTTTTTCTCATGCATCACAGTGACTGAAATTGTGGATGCTGCCCCAAATGTCCTCCCTTGGCACTGCTTGCGGGGCATCGGGAGGTCTTGGTATCTTTATGGTTCCCTCCAGTGAGTAGGTGAGAAGAGCTGCAGGTGGAGTCTGAAGAGGTATGGAAGGAACAAAGAACACATCTAAAGGGTTCTTTCAACGAGGAATGAAGAAATGTAAATTGAAGAATCTCCTCACAATCCAATTTATGGCCAAAATAAAACACACAAAGCAAAAGTATCTGATTTTATGTTTCTTTTGATCATAAAGTGAACCACTTCAATAAGCTCTAGATATTATCATTTAAGAAATTCTGGTCTAGGACTTGGGAGGTACTCATAAATTGTAGAAAAGGTGTCCAGGGCTCACCCCCTCTACCTACCTGTCCTAGATCGTAGAATCATAGGACAGGAAGAGACCTAGTTCTAGTTCAACCCCTTGCCCAAGGCAGGAGTCCTTATGTGTAAACCATATGATGAAGGCTGGGTAGGCAACCCAAAACACTCAAAGAGCCACTTGGACCTGTTTCCCACGAAAACAAAACACTGGGAGCCGCAAAACCCTTTTGATATCTAAAATGAAGATAACACTGATATAACAAATGAAGATAAAGGTAAAAAAGGATATATGCAGTGTTATCTTCATTTTAGATGTCAAAAGGGTCTTTCTCTCTCTGCCTCTCTCTTTCTCTCCCTCTCTTTCTCTCTCCCCCCTCTCTCTTCCTCTCTCTGATCTTCTGCTCACCTGGCAAGCTGCCTTCAAGCTGTTCTCCAACCAGCTGACACACATTCTTATTGGGCTAGCTCAGGGGTAGGCAACCTGGGCTCTTTTATGACTCATGGACTTCAACTCCCAGAATTCCTGAGCCAGTATAGCTGGGCTAGCTAGCTCTCTCCTGCCCTTCCTGCTTCCTGCTTCCTGCAGAGATGCAGCCAAAGCAGGAGCTCCGCCCTCTCTCTGTCTCTGTCTCTCTCTGCAAATGGCGGAGGAGGCTGGGAGCCGCAGGGGAAGGCTCAAAGAGCCACATGCAGCTCCGGAGCCGCAGGTTGGCAGCCTGTGGGCTAAGGGACCTAGGTTCGTCTAGCCTTCTCTCAGATTTGGCGGGAAGGGGCTGTGGGCCTTTTAAGAGGCAGGTGGAGTCCGGCTGAGGGAAGCTGCCTCAGGCAAGGTTGGAAACCAGCCAGAATTGCGTTGGTTTTTCCCCCTATTTTATCTTTTTTAAACTATGTGTTGTACCTTCGTGTGGAACCATGTCTTGCCTTGGGCACCTTCAATAAAATAGATTTTCCCCCCACTGGTGGCCTTCTATTCCCCCCCCCCACTTCAGCTGGGCTGAGCAACCGACACCCCCCCCCAAATGTTCAGTTTGGTTTCCCTTCCCCTAGTTTAGCTAGGCCCGGTTGCAGCCCGGGTTTCTTCTCCAGCCTTTCCTGGAGGTTAGGGTGCCTTCCTTTTTCAAGGGCATTTAGATATTCTAATTATGTATTCCTGGTCTGTTGATTGTCTCTGGAATCAAAAGCAAGTTTGATTCTGGTTCTTGTTGAGCGGCAATGCAGGGAAGGGTCAAATTATTCTAACAAAATTACAGTAAATCCACTGGCACAGCATTCCAATGCATGTGGAGCTTGTAAAAAGAGTTATTTAGTTTATGATCTACCCAGCAAGGGGGTTAGGTTACATCCTGATATCCCAAAGGTGCTTTTTCAAAAGGCAACTGGACTTGCTTTGTTTTTCCTTGAAGATGTTTCGCTTCTCATCCAAGAAGCTTCTTCAGTTCTGACTGAAACTAAAACATATCAAAGAAACTTGTGGCTATCCCAACTGGACCTTCATCAAATACCCCAAAACACCCAGCAGGATCTCTTCTACAACAGGCAAAGAAGAGAACAATAAATGAAGCAATATTGTCATCCCATACATTGCAGAATATCTGAAAAGCTCAAGAGAATTTTCAACCAACACAACATATGTGCACATTGATATATGCAATACAATGCAGTGAGACATGTGCAGATCCATACATTGGAGAAACAAAACAACCACTCCACAAATGCATGGCACAACATAGGAGAACAAACCCATCAAGACAGGATTCAACAATCCATCTGCATTTCAAAGACAAAGGCCACTCTTTCGAAGACTGCTGGTTTGAAAGAGGAGTCAAAGAGGCCATCTAGGTCAAAATTGAACAGCCCTCTCTCAACAGAGGGGGAGGGATACGATGCCACCTATCTTCTGTTTACAACCCAGTCCTTCCTGCAGTTCCAAGAAGGTTCCACACCCATTTGCACTATTCAGGTGACAGATAAACCTCCCAGTGGCCTCAATGACTGAGAAAGAGTACTAATAGCCAGAGGACCGCAAGGAATATAAATCCTTCCATTCTCTAGCCTTCTCTATCTCTATCCTTCCATTCAGAACTAAAGAAGCTTTTTGGATGAGGAGTGAAACATTTTCTTCAAGCAAAAACAAAGAAAGTCTAGTTGCCTTTTGAAAAAGCACCTTTGGACAACCATGATTATACCCTAATATTTCTGGTCTGGAAAATCAAGGCACCCTTTGTCCATTTTTCAAGAGGATTAACAAAGTGATTGAAATGGACAATTTGGTAGAAAAAAATCAATTACATGTGATTGGTTTGTGTCAGTCCTACAAGTTAGAGCAGACCAAGTAACTAAGGCCATAGAGGTCAGGACCACTTTTATTGTAACTGTAGAACAGAATCTTGCAAATCTGAAGATGCTTCCCTCCTTCCTCTCTTTATCTTCATGTGAATGGGAACGGGGCTTGTCTGAGACTTTTTTCTTATTTCTTTCTTGGCCCAAGCTCAAGATCCTCTTATCTGACCATTGCTTTGGTAGTAGCGTGGGAGATATGCTTATCTTGAGCAGAAATATCTTTTTGAAAAAGACCCATGCTGGGTTGTCCACGGGGTGGGGATATATGGTTAAAAATCACATGGCAGTCATGATCCTGCTCTTGATGCCCCTCCTCTTTTTAATGTTTTTTTTTTAAAAAAACAATATACAACTTTTTGATCAAATGGTCACAACTGCCATTTGTACTTTTTATTCCCTAGTAAATGATCTTGGATTTGAGGTATCATTGGGAGATCTATTGCTGTGGGACATTTTAATCTTTCTGCTGTGAGATTTTATAAAAGCCGGGCAGAGGAGTTGGCATTACAAATCAGCTTGGATTTTTGCAAGCAGAAGCAAAATAATTATGGCTTCTAAAGAGGAAAAGACTCATAGGTCCTTTGCAAAAATGTGATTCTTTAAGGTGTGGTATATGGCAGAAAATTAAAAATAAGGAACTGCATCATTTAAGGAAAAAATATTTGACCAGTTTTTAGATTGATTGATATTCATCAGTTTGGTCAAAAAGATAATCTGAATATTGATAGATTTTGTTCATTGAATCAGGTATGCAGTATAATCAGTCATTGAGGAGTTGTATTTAATAGTTCTGTGCATTTAAAAGCATTAAGATATTTTATGTACAAAATTAATGTTTATAATGTAGTTATGAGATTTATGTTTAATGTCAGAAATATTACTAATGTTGCTTGTGACGAAAATATCAACAATCCTTCTAACATCTGTAAATAATTATTGCTTTTATGTATTTCACTAATGATTTTCAGGACACCTCATGCATTTTACTTTTTTATAATTGATACATCATAGTCCGCACAGTGCTTCTAACACCCAATTCACAGTGCTTAGTTGTGAAGCACCCTTCCAAAGGTGCTCCAGAAACTGGACCCATCTGAGAACATCAGTTCAAGATACTCACAGCAAGTAATTCACACACATTTTCCATGAACTTGCCTGGCCCTACATGAAGTTCAGAACTGCTGATGTATGTATTCATTGTCTATAATTGTGTGTGCCTCAACCATTTATGAGGTGGTTTATGAGGTGGTTCAGTAGCAGGATGTATCTCTGGTAGTTAAGGAGTTACTATGGTGATTTGTTTACAAACCTAAGGTTCAGCTATTACATAGCTAATAGCTAAAAGAGGTTGAGGAATGCCTCAAGTTTTGTTTTTAGTTGATTGTGAAGTATCATTTTTTCCCCAAAATAAAACAAAAGGGGAGGTTCAAAAAAGGGGAGGTTCATTCTGTATTTACACTGGCGCCTGTGAAAGATGAGCAAAATATCTGTTAAATCTAAAGGTAAAGGTAAAGGTTTCCCTTTGTCCAATTATTTCTGACTCTCAGGGGTGGTGCTCATCTCTATTTCTTAGCCGAGGGAGCCAGTGTTGTCCAAAGACAATTACTGCAGTCATATGGCCAGCATGACTATATGCCGAAGCATATATATATATATATATATATATATATATATATATATATATATATATGCCGAGCATATATATATATATATATATATTATATATATATATATATATATATATAATATATATATATATATATATTTTCTGAGGTTTTCGCGGGTATTTGTATATAGGTCTTTGGTTGTTCGGGTTTTCTCCCGCGTAAAATTGGAAGTGTCTTGGCAACGTTTCGACGAAGTCACATCGAATGTGACTTCGTCGAAACGTTGCCAAGACACTTCCAATTTTACGCGGGAGAAAACCCGAACAACCAAAGACCTATATATATATATATATATATATATATATATATATATATATATATATATATATATATTTTCTATATGTTCAAACTGCTAGGTTTAACATAATCTGCAGAAGCTGTTTCAGCTAACCAGACTCTCCTGAATAACATAACACCAGCTGTGCCTGTTCCTGTACTGTGCCTTTCTCATTCATGCTACATTCTTTTGTTTACTTCAGTACTCTCTGCATAGAGCTGTCCTTGAAGATATTCCAGAAACTCCAGCTAATCCAGAATTAGAACAGCACAGATAGTTTTTGACATTTTTCGTTATACTTGTATAAAACCACTTCTTTGTGAATTGCACCAGCTGTTAGTCAGTTTCTGAATGTGATTCAAGTGGGAATTAACATTTATAAAGGCTCACATGGTTTAGGCCCAGGCTATTTATGGGACTGATGGTCTCTCATTGTCTCTCTTGGCCCACCAAATCTAACCATGAGAGCATATGTTGGGTACCTTTCATTAGTGTCGTCTTGACTCATTAGTTGTACCTTCTCTGTGGTATCATCTGCCCTGCAAACTGCTGCTAAGCCAAGCAAAGTACAGTTCAAATATTAATAGGGATTAACTGCTCCCAAGACCCTCAAGAATTATACATATTTTTTAAATGTAGAAATGTAGAATACTATACGTAGAAACACTTTCTCGTGCAGAAGAGCGCTCTTGAGCAGATTATTCTTGTGAGAAGCTACCATTGAACTTTTCCATCCTTGCAGAATTTGAGATAGACTCCAGTAAAAATTAATTTGAAAACTAAACAATTGACCAATTTAACATCACAAATTCAAATTACTATTCTGTTCTCTTAGGTGTAATTTCATTCATTTTCTAAATTTAGAATTTTGGTTCTTTTCTTGCAAAACTAATTTCTGTTAATATTTATTTGTCTCAGGATGTTGTCACACCTTCAACATCGATACAAAGAAGGCAAGAATTATCCCAGGCTCCAGAGAAGCATACTTCGGCTACACAGTTCAACAGCATGAGATCAGTGGGAAGAAATGGTAAGCCACACTGGCTTGGCCTGAGATTGAATATTTAGCTTCTTTTCCAATTCTGCTGCTCTCCAGATAGGTTGAATATGGTTGTTGGGTTGGAAAATAATGAGAGCTGAAGGCACATCTGAAAGTATCAGTCTGATGAAGGCTGGCTTATTCTGTGATGTCACTTAAAGTTTAGGACAACAGTTTTGGGGTTTTTTTGCCTTTTTTATTGAGCTGTAACAAAATCTTTTGTTGTCATTGTTATGTGGATACCAGAAATATCAATGCTAAATAACAATAGTAGTAGTTTATTGAATGATTAATCTTGTGATCTTATCAATATTGATGCTGAAAGTTATTCTTTTTCCAAATTGCTCATGTATTGTTTTATTTATAAAGGAAAAGGATAAGAGGTTTGCTCAGTTCATGACAAATGTTAACTCCCAGGGGGAAAAAATCCTCCAGCGAGGGGTAATCTGTAACATTTTTAGATTTGCACAATCCATTCCCAGGGCCCTTGGAAGAAGTAGAACACCAAGCATTAATCTAAGTCTGTCAGCAGCCAGAAAAAATACGAACACACAAAGTGTTTAAAAAAGAAATTATGTTACTGACACTTGAATACAAATAGTGGTGGTGACATTTTGAAAAAGAACATGTTCTTTTGCATCAGGGAAATTTACATGTCAAAAAATAAAAGCAGCTCTGATTCTACTAGTTTGGAGCTAGGATTTGTCCCCATATCGTGTCCTGAACTTGTTTAGAATATCCAAAGTCCTTTTGTTTATGTATATGTTTTATTTATATATCTTTAAGTCCAACTTAATATAACATTTAGCTAGATAAGATGTCAAAAGCAAGAGTCGTTTTTAAAGAAGCCTCTATGTGTATGATATGTGTGTGTGTGTGTGTGTGTGTGTGTGTGTGTGTGTGAGAGAGAGAGAGAGAGAGAGAGAGAGAGAGAGAGAGAGAGAGAGATTCCTATGAGTCATTATTGACTCTTGGCAACTGCCTAGAGTCTTAGACAAATCCCTGCAGTTTTCTTTGCAAGAATCCCTGCAGTTTTCTTGGCAAGATTTTTCTAAAGTGGTATTCCCTTGCTTTCTTCCTAAGGCTGAGGGAGAGAAACCAGCCCAAAGTTTTGTAGCTGGCTTTCTGCCTAAAGCAGGACTAGAAGTAAACTACCACATCGAACTGAATCATCATCATCATCACAAAAGTAAACATTTGTGCACAGCCAAATCACTTTTCAGATATTTGTTTTTATCCATCAAAATTCACTTCCTCTACAGACCTAGACTCTATTAAGGAGCATGATATTTAGTGTCGTTTTGGTGGAAATGAGAGAACTAAAGCAGGAAATTTCCACCGACCACTCTCCTTAATGTGCCCTGTACTCAGTAAATAAGGACAACAACATTTGCTGGGACTGGGCCTTTGGCAGGATAGGAATCATTGATGGGGGCAGCAAATTTAGCACTTTCTTCTGGTCAAGAAACCAGGTGAAAACCATATTAACTGAGCCATAAAGACATTCCTTCCCCTTTCAAACAATTCTTGATTTTGTTTTTCAATATATTTTTCCATGTCAACATTAACTCCTTTTCTTTGTAGCAGTACTCTATATTTATCCTCCTCCTTCCTTCCTCTCTTCCTCTCTCTCTCTGTTTCTCTCTCTCTCTCTCCCTCCGTTTGGATCTGTTTAAAGTTTTTCAGCAAAGCTGCTTTCTTCATTTTGAAGTTCAAGGGAAGCAGCCAAATGTTACCCATTTGGACGAAAGACTTCCAAGTGTAATAATGATAGTGGAAAGTATGAAAAGAAAGAATTCAGAGATATTCCAAGAGAGAAGGGAAAAAGTCATTTTCATGCTCTAAAATACAGCCAACATATTAGGTCATCCTCTTTCTTCATTATCTTTCCAACTTGGCATTGAAGCTTGTTCTTTCCTAATTTATTGAACTTGGCTCTTTTTTTGTCTAAAATAAGCACACACTTATTGTAGAGTGTTAAGAGTATTTTTCTTTTTTCAGAGTGAAATTCAAAATTTCTAATTTTGCTTAATTATTAAAATACTCCAAAATTTCTGAATCTTAAATTCTATATACCATCTGATTTCTTCATGCTTCATTTAAAAAGATTTTATAAGCCACTAGCTGGGATCCCTCACAAGCCTGCTTAGATTTCTCAATTTATGTGATGCAGCTTATTGGGGTTCACTGGATAGTTAAATAGCACAAACGGGCCTTTGATCCCTGAGGAATATAGATAAAAACCACTAGATTCAATTATTTAATAATGTTCTCTTTCTGTCACATTATGCATCTGGGTGAGGGGTTCTAGAGTCTCCTATTATTTAAAGAAAACCATTCTGGAATTCTTTTCTAAGTTTTCTCCCCAAAATGGCTCAAGAAGATCCACCTACAAAAATAAGAGCAAGACACAAAAACACAGGAATGAAGCAGATCTGTCCCTTGCCCAGGGACAGCTCACTGCTACTCCATCTCCAGTCACCTGGTGATCAGTCCAAGCAGGGTCCCACAGCAATGCATTGTAAGACAGTTATGATACTTGTAGGTGAAGGGTGGCACATCTTTCATCTAAAGTGCTCCCCTACAATCCAGCAAAGAGACTACCAAGCCAGCTTGGGCATCTCTCAAGCTGCACCCCTAAGCACATCTGGCAGCTGTTCCATTCAGCTCCTGGATAGGAGACACTTGTTTTAGTCTGCCAACAAAGAAGCTGATTCACCTCGTTGAATGATGGGGTCAGTCCAGAGGACTGAGCAGGAGGAAAATCAGGAATTCAATATAGCTTGGAGTGGACAACAGCACGTCCTGTTTTCCCCACATTGATATACATAGCCACTATTTCAGTTGAGAAATATATGCTTACATGACCCATCAGCCTGTGCTGTCCCGCTCACTCTCACACACCCGTAACTGTGCTTTAGTGAGTTTATTAATATTCCCCAGCAATTACTGTCACCAAAACCTCAGAACTGTCCCAGTTACGTCCAGCCACAATGCTGGTCCACAGAGCAATGGCCAAAGAGTCCACAAGGCTCTCGAAAGTTTCTCAATCAAAATAAACCCAGCAGGCGAATTTAAATAGCAATAGCACTTAGACTTATATACCACTTTACAGCCCTTTTTAAGGAGTTTACAGAGTCAGCATGTTGCCCCTAACAATCTGGGTCCTCATTTTACCGACCTTGGAAGGATGGAAGGCTGAATCAAACTTGAGCCAGTGAGAATCAAACTGCTGAACTGCTGGCAGTCAGCAGGAGTAGCCCGCAGTACTGCATTCTAACTAAATCCATAACACACGAGAGTTACGAGTCCAGAGTTCACAAGGCATGATCCATGTGAAAGCATGGTGTCAATGCAAAGCAAGGCAGGAATGACAATGACCAGAGAATACACAGCTAGGAAACAAACTGACCTGAAGAAGCTTCTTGAATGAGAAGCAAAATGTCTTCAGTGAAAAACAAGAAAGTCCAGTTGCCTCGTGTAAAAGCATCTTTGGGATAACTATGACCTGGATGACTGAGAATCTCCACACCCATTTGTACATTGATTCACGTAACCTGAGGGCACAGATAAACCCACAACCCACAAATGGGCATTGAAAGAATATCTGAAGGACAGTGAATAAGATGCACTGAAGCTATTATACCATGAAGGCTTACTGAGTACTGAAAAGACCAAACTAGAAGAAAGACCAAATGAAGAACAAAAAGAAGAATGGCAAGGCAAAATGGCCAGTACATTAAAAAAAAATAGTAGGCATCTTAGGTGCAATCAGTTGAGCACCATTGGCATTGACAAAACCACTATCAATTGATTGCAAAAGGCAGTTTTACTTAGAACAGTTTACATCCTGTGACGATACCTTTAACACCATAAAACATCAGCATCTGCCTATCCCAGGTCCTTGGGAAAGACTTGATAGATGTATAAAAATGCCAAATCCACTCTGAATATCTGGCTGACTGAATGAACCATAATAATAATAATAATAATCTGTTCATCTAACTTTGTAATTGTAAATTCTCCAATTCTGGCCAGAATACTGCATTCGCGGATCTTGGTGCCATAGCAAAAAAACCAGGCTGTTCTGAACCAGTCTGTCTGGTCTCACTTCCTCCACAAATGGTTGGTTTTTACTATTGTGTTAGATGGTAGACATTTGTGATCCTGCTGCTCCTTTGGATGGAACTCATAGGAAGATGCAAGGTTAAACTGCCAAGGATTACTTTTAAGACTCTTTTTGCCAAATGTTTCTACCTATTCATTTGTTTCCTTTATTCATAACACAATCTGAATTTGTGGAAGAGCAGAAATCTGAGGATGGCCTGACCCAGCCAGAAGCCAGAAGCCTCATGCCACTGTTACTGAGCGTGTGAACCAGAAAAGTTGACAGGCGACCTTCATGTCCTTGAGGTAATAACACGTCTAGGAGCAGACATGACCTCAGTCCTACTGTACAATAATATGAAAGAAAGGATGAAATAGCCTCAAGGGAGGCATCATCAAATCTGCTTTGAAGATTTACAGCAATAATTGCGCAGTGCTGATCTGTAAAAGTAATTAGTTATTTACCCCCATCCATCTTGGCTGGCTGGATATTGAATGCACTAGTGGGGGTGGGAAATATGGCTGGCTTAATACCGATTTTTGCTAGACATTCTGAGCACAAATACAAGGAAGCTTGAAGCAGTTATGCATTTAACACCATCATATAGTTTACTCTTTTTGGAACAAAGCTACTGTGATGGGGGTAGGCAGGTCTAGTCATCCTAAAGCATTTCCATATGAAAAAATAAACATATTTCCAGACTTAATTCTGTCAGTAGAAAACTCCCTTGCCAACTGAGAAGCCAGCACAGAATGTCCACTTGTAAAATTTAAAACAATTTAAAACTCATTTTTGAACTTAAACTGCACTGTAATACAATAGTCCTCATAAAATGTGGCAATGAGTTTCACAAGCTAATTATGCTTTTTGTGAAGAATTGCTG